CACAACCACACTATTGGCATGGCTCTAAAGCCGCAGCTTAGTTAGAACTTACAGGTGCTATGTACGCCAGATGATAGCCATGTAGAAGTTGGAAAAGGGAAGCATATATCTCCGCACATGTTCATACTGCATGAGAATAAACGGATACATTGCATTTGAACATTGATTCCAAAGAAACCATCACCTATCACAGCAGAAAATAAAACAGAAAAGAGGCAATAGGCAGAAAGAAAAGCATAAAAAGCCAATCATTTAGAAATCAAAGCTATCATCAATGAATACATTGATAATTGCACTACGTTTCAAACTAAAGGACAAAAATTCATGTCATATGAAAAAACTAACTCATATGTTCATTGTATATTAGAAATTGTTTAAAATAAAACTAAAGTTGAGTGTAGTTCAGTGGTAGAAAATTGGCTCTGTGTGTGCAAGACTCTGATTCCCAACACTGCAAAATGAAGGTAATAACAATAAAAAAGTAAGAGAAGACTTTATGGCAAAATGGGGTTAACTGATACAAAAGCTAATTTCATATTGAGTAGTTTAATTAATAAACGTTGTGGGAGTTACGAGCATCAGCAGGTGATTAAAGAATGCAGGCTAAAAGCTGTCCTGGGTTAGTTGATCCTCGAGTAGAGTTGGAAAATCTGTCTCTGATTTACATACACATAAATGCATGCTTATCATTCATACTCAATGAAGTTCAAATGATTGGCTATAGAAATGTATAATATACTGCTAGGAACTATGTAACTTTATGTGTGTATTGAGGTGACTGTGTATAACTTAATAAGGTGATATGTTAATGTGTGTATTGAGGTGACTGTGTATAACTTAATAAGGTGATGTGACAATAGACTCACTTTCCAGGTGTGATTCAAGACTTTACAAGAACACAACACACACAATGCTCCAAAGGAACCTCAATATAGTCCAAAAATGAAAAGTTGTAAAGGTTGTAATATTTTAACTTAATGTATTGGTTAAAAGTAACAAAATAAAATCAGTTTTGTTTCAAAATAAAAGAATGGCTGCAAACAGCACATATTGGGTTAAATTTTAATAGAACGTGAATATAAAAATAAAACGCAAACAAAAATACACAAATGCACATGGTTAGTCCTTAAGAATTATTTGAAATGGATATTTCCAATGAAATGTAAAAAAAATTCTACATTTTTTTAAATGTGAAAAAAGACATCGGAGAATGTTAAGCTGAGAAACCTATTTATAAATGTAAGATAAATGCATTGCTTCCACTCTAGAAATCAGTATGGATATTGGTGAGAAAAGCTAAATAGGAGCCAGCAGATGATCTCTCTGTTCCAGTCTCTAGTATCCCCCCAAGGAGTGTAGGTCAGCACACTGCAGAGATGCCTGCTCTATCCAGGTAGACTGCAGAACTGTTCACACTGGCCAACCTTGGATTCAGTCTAGGTTTTTAGCAATAGATGAATGGATAAAGAAAATCAAGTTTTACAGAGACATAAAACAGAAAGAAATAATGCCGTCTGCAGGAGACGTGTGTGAAATTGTTAAGCCTGATATTATACAAAATATCTCGGGTCCAGAAGGACAATACTTCATTTTTACAATATGGAGAACCTAGATTTTACACACACACACACACACACACACACACATACCTGATCTGAATGCTTTCAAAGGACCCGTGTGAGTGATGGAGTGGTATATCAGGTACAAAATATACTCAAGAAACAATAGCATTATGAAACTCTCCACTTTGTACAGGCACTGTACATTAATAATAAAGGGGAAAATTTAGATCTGAAATGAGAAAATAAAAAGTTAGTACATATGTAAATGGTAAAAGAAAATTGCCATTAAAAGGAATAAATATGAAGAGGGAGTTTTACAAAAAAGGTGAAGCAACGTTTAGAAACAACGTTGAGAGTTATAACCTAAAAATGGAAAAACAAAAACATGAACAACAAAAGGAGAGATTAGAATTTAAGAGCACATACTTTTCCAGTAATCTGACCCAAGGAGCTAAACTCTTTGAGCCATAAACAAGTAGAAGTTTAGGAGAAAATAACTTCTCAAGCATAGCTGAGTCCAAAAGACAGGAAGGTCCATCTCTCAGCTCTAGAAAAAAGAGGAAATCCAAGCAGAGGCTGTGGAGTAGGCTACTGTACCGCAGTGCAGAGTCAGGATGAAGGAGAACCTGTGGAAAATACCTGCTGGGGAGCCCAGAAGGCAGGGAAAGACACACAGTGAGGGGGTGGGGATGGATGCTTTTAACAGAGTTATCAGTCGACTCCTTCAAACTTTTGAAGCGAAAATAAAACTCTGGACGTGTTTCTGGTAAAAGACCTGAATTCTGCTGTTATGGAAGCATTTTCAGCATGGCCTGACCCCTCCCCAAGTGTGATGGTTGTGTGGGAAGTGTCTCTCTGGCCGAGCTTTGATAGAGACTCACTGGGAACTACCAGCCAATCGCGATCTTGGGAATGATGCTTCTCTAGGTCTGGGGTCAAGTGGGAGTTTTTAGAGTGATCCATATTCTTTTATTTGATTTAAGGGTGGATTTTTTGAGACCAGCCTGGTCTACAAGAGCTAGTTCCAGGACAGGCTCCAAAACCACAGAGAAACCCTGTCTTGAGAAAAAAAAAAGGTGGATTTTTTTTCCTCATAGACCTTTTTCTTTTGACAGTATTGAATGTTTGCTTTATAGGCTTAAAAAAAAAAAAAAAAAAAAAAACACTGCCAAAGCAGTCAACTGTCTTCTCTATAGAAGGCATAAGATATGGAAAAGCTCAACGTGGTGATGGATGTCAGCAATTGCAACACTTATGAGGCTGAGGCAGGAGGATTCCAGGGAGTTTGAGACCCCCTTGTGCAATGTAGTGAGAGTTCTAGGTCAGCGTGGACTACTTAGTAACAACAGCAAAGCCTACAGATGTTCTGTAAGTGTAGACATGTCCATTTTACCAACACTTATATTAGGGAGAGTAGAACTGGCAATTACTAAGAGATAAGAATGGTAAAGTTGCATGCATCTACTAAATGTATGTTTCATAGTGTGGTTAAGATGTTAATATATGCATTTCCACTGCATGAATTATATGATACCAATTTTCTAAGACACACATTATTTAAAATTTTACTTTAATTGCTACTGCATAAAAATCTGGAAGGAAGTAGATAAAAACAGTCTTAGACTCTATAATCTATGGACTCTAAATACCTTCCATTTTCCAAATTATCTAAAGTAACTATAAAACTAACATTTTCTGTAAAATAAATTATTTTAGATTATTTTGTTTTTTATCAGTTCACAAATTAATATTCTATAGAATTATACTGACAGATTTTTCAACAAATTTAATATTTTTAAATTTTATTTTTGGCCCTGTAATAAGCTATTATCACTATTTTATATTCCATGATTTTTAGTTACTCATGGTTAATGGTACTCACAAATATTAAGTAGTGACTTCAGTAACATAGTAATAGTTATTGTCAGAACACAGTCCAAGAATTAAGTTATGTGAAGGGAATTCTGGGTGCTTGTGAGAGAATTCTAAGACAACAAGACAAGTTAAAAAGAAAGTGGGAGTATTGTAAGAAAGTGCTTCTGTGTCTCTCGTAGGGCAGCAGGAGAGAGTTTACTGCAGATTCTTCATGACAGCTGGCTATTGTTTATAAGCCTTTGTGGAAGCATGCTTGAACACGTGAGAACTTTACTCTGGTGACCTTTCTTAACCTCAGGTATAACTGTCTGATGCTCCGAATAAACAGCTTTGCATGAGACTTCAGTCATTTTTAAGCTCCATTCCCCCAGGTCCCAATGCCTTTGGAGTGGCAAACAGTCTTGTACTAGTGGGCAACCTTGAGGAGTGGAAAGAGCCCTCCCACCCCAGCTCCTTTGAGGTCTCTGGAGTTTCTCTGACCAAAACCTCATACAGAGGCATTGATCTCTGTTATTTGTATTTTGTTTAATGATCATGGCTTCTAGGGCCAGGAATATCCAACCACACTGAGTATATATATATATAGTACCTTCCCATTAGTCCCTTAGCTGTAATAGTTACAGTGTTTCCATACCACATATACTATCTTCCCATTAGTCCCTTCCCATTGACTAATAAATAGTTACAGTGTATCCGCACCACTATAAGAGCATATAGTATATATATATATATATATATATATATATATATATATAGTATATTATATAATACCTTCCCATTAGTCCCTTAGCCCTTATAGTTACATTTCTTATTGCTCTGACAAAAGTAGCAACTTATAGGGGGAAGGGTTTACTTTGGCCTATGACTTAAAGGTACAGTTCATCCTGGCAGGAAAGCCATGGCCTCTGGTGTGGCTCTTACCTGTCTAAAGAGGCTTGCACACATCTGGGTGGTCTAAGGAGCAGAGAAAACACGTTTAGCTGGTTCTCAGCTGCCTTTCTCCTTACCCAGTTTTTGTTCAGCCTGGGACCTAAGCCCATGAGATGTTGATGCTCACATTTAGGGTGGATTTTATCTTAGTTAATCCTCTTCAGAAGCATCTTACAGGCACATTTAAAGATGTGCCTCACCAAAGTTCTTGGCATTCTTGCTCAGTGAGGTTGAGACATATCAAGCATCTCAATTATCAGACTCACTCTATTTGTATCTTGGTGCTGGGCTCAAATAATTCTTATTTTACCTAACAATGGCCCCCAAATATCAAGTAATGGTCCTGCCAAGTTCCTGGACCTCACAGAATCCAAACAGTTTCAATACCCATATTCCTTATCTTTTGTGGCTTTTACAGTTTCATATCCAATAACCACATTTGTGTTGGTAGCATGAATTTCTTGACTTTGGCTAAACGGATCCTGTGGATTTGACTTTCATAAATCTGTTGAAGTACTTAGGTAATTTTTTTTTCATTTTGTATTGAAATCGAAATCTGACAAAAACATCAGAAAGAAAAAAAATTCTTGACATCACAACAGTTTAATATGTTAACTTATCCATTAAATTGTGCTTCACATCCACGGGAATCCTCAGGTCTACAAACTATCATTTTTAAATAGCAATAAAGTTGGTAATGTCACAATATAATCTCCTAATAACCAAGTTCATACATACTGCACAGAAACAGAAGAAGAAACACCTCCTAGAGGAAATAATCTGCATCTACTGAATAACTATCTTATATCTAGAATGGGGCACCAGATAAAGATTTAGATTTTTCTAACATTGATTTGATACATTGAAAAAAAAGAAGAAGAAGAACAAAATGCAAGCAAAACCCAGAAAGTATTTCTGGGAGAAAACTCTTGGTCACATGATTCAAAGAAAGCATGAGAATGAGATGGAAGATGTGTGATCATGGCTAAGTCACACAGAACTGCCTGTCAGGACAGTGTTTTCTCAGCAAGAGCTGAGGATGTGTGGCCAGAATCTCTGGCCTTACAGGAGTTCCCACAGTGAGGCAGAATGTGGTTCTTACAGAGCCGCCCTCAGGTCGCTGAAAGTGGACAGTGGCCGTCTGTCCTGTAGATGTTGAAGAAGACAGGTTCCAGAAGCACCCACATGCTAGTGTCTGCAGATTCAGCATCTCAGTACTCCATCAGGCTACCCCTGGTCCTGGCCCAGAAGTGCAGAGACTTGCAGCCACTCTGGTGTTCATGACAGGCCAGTCCTCAGGATTCTCAGCACCTCAGCAGCGGAGGCCAGTTCTGCCAACAGACTGTGAAGATGGGTCCATGTCTGTTCACTCCAGGAGGTAACGAAACTCAGAAAGCCCCTACCTGCCCTGGAGGGCTCGTTCAGCTTCAGAGAATCCACCCGGATGTGTCCTGGTTAATATGGTGAGAACAGAACTGACATCAGCTAGTGTGCAGTAGAGATAGAACAGGATGAAAAGGGAAGCCAAAAGGGTTGAGAGAAGGAGCAGCTGTGTGGTCCTCAGAAGTCATGGCCCGGATAGCACTGGCAGCCTCGGCTAGCCCGCCGCCCAGCCTGGAGGCTTTCAGATGAAGTCGAACACACACAGCTCTGTGTAATTCCACCCTAGTCAGTCTGGGACTCCCAAGTCTACCCAAGGCTCTGATTCTATCCCACGGGTGCACCCCCTCTTGTGCTCTTCTAAGTGGGTAGAAGAATTAAGTCACGTGTTTCTGGGCTGCCTTTTATCCTAAGGACCCAAACTGTGTCTCTACCATGTTGCTATATTCCACTATGGACTGGCACATATGTTAACTGTCATCTTCCTCTGGGTGGTCTGTCTCTCAGAGCCCTACTTTCTTCTATAGCTGCTTTATTGTCTCTAGTCCTCTGTGTCTGTGTGATCCCATTTTGACACTCTTCGCAGCCAGGTGACACGTCTGGGAAGGGATCAAATAGACTGGGTGAAGTTGCTTACTTATTACAGCTTAAGGTGTTTCAACCTCCAGCAGTGGGCAAAGGAGCTCAGCGAATACCAAGAAAACACAAGAACTCTAACAACATGCTGCTGATAGAATACCAGGGACCTGGGGAAAAGCAGAGAGGGGGAGGCAGAGGTCCTGTTGATCACCCCTAAGCTTTCCCAACAGGCAGATACTGGTTCTGCATTTCTTGAATGTTGTGCATCCCACTGGAGTTGTAAGCTTATCCCCTTAGTCTCCATGTTGGAGAGTTTGAGGGAGGAACAGAGTTGATATCCGGCTATGGATATTTGAGTGTCTCCCCTGAATTCATGTGCTTTTCTCAGATTCCCTTTGTACAACTCTCTACCTGAACTTTTCACTCAAGTCAGAGGGCCCTTCACTGGGGGCAGAACTGAGAGTCTACTGCACCTGTCCATGGTATTTTCTAGGTCACCGCAGCTGCACAACAAGGGGAAAGAGGACAGAAATCAATAAAGATTTAGTTTTTACCTTCTTGCAATTCCCAGTCCCGATACTGATGCCAAGTAGCACTCGGTATTAGGAAAAGCTGAGGCCAAGAGACCATGGACTCTAGGCAACTTCCTTACAAATGAACGAAAGCTAGGGGGATCTTCCAACATCTCTGAATCTTCATTCAAAATGATCAAACGTGAGGGAGCAGAAATACCAGCCAGTGCACAAGAGTGTGAGGCAGGCCAAGCGAGATACCACGCTAAAATGTTTGGAAAAGCATTAAATGCTGACAGGGTAAATTTTAATCTCATCCTTTGTAAAGCTGATGAGAAAATAATTGATATTGAAAAGGACTTGGCATTTTTCCCCACTTCCTTTTGTATTGGGGACTGGTAGTTTTCTATCAGTATTAATTCTCCATCATTTCTTTAACAATAGGGCTCCCCTCATTTATCATGACAGCCGGCACTGAGTAATAAAGACATTTTCTAGACTTCTCTGCAACTAGATGCAGCTAATATGTAGATTCTAGCCAATGGGACATGACTGTAAGTAGTGTCTGCAATTCCCTGGGCTTCCCTCCACTGCCTCAAGTGAAAACAAGATGGCTGTGGATAAAGCAGATACATTTGGCCAGGAGGTAGATGCTCTGTCTTAGAATGAAGAAGCAATAAGAGAAGGTTAGACCCCTCTCCATCCAGACTTCTAAAACTATTACGTTAGTAGTTTGATCAAATGAAGATTTTTAGTTCAAATATTTGATTAGGTTTTCAGTAACTCATAATTTTCCTTAAGTGTTGCCAACATTGATTGGTAAGATCATCAATTATTTTCTCCAGTATTTAGATTAGGCTTCTAGGAAGCTGGAAGGGATTTAAAAAAAAAAGTGTCTATCTTAGTTCCTACCAAAGTATGAACAATGTGTGTGACACACACAACACACAACTAAAAAGTGTGACCAGACAGGCAGAAAGGCAAATCACACACATGGAACCTCACAATATGTAAATACACTCCCCTCCCTATACATTCTTCAAACTGTGAACACAGACACACAAACACACACACATGGACACACACATACACATACACATAAGGACACACACACAGACACAAGCATCATATATATATTCCATTCCATTGTCTTGTGCTGCTACTGAGAAGAGACGGGAGAAGAACCTGCCTGGGAATTGGAGGAGCCCACAAGAAGTGGAATTACCTAGGGGTTGTTTTTCATCTATGGAGTTGGAGTTGATGTGGTTTGAGACCTGAAGGCTGACAGCTGCCAGGTGTCCCTAGCTTCCTGTGCCTGCCTCTGTCATCTCCTCCTGCAGCATCAGCCAGCATGGAGCTGTGTAGCCAGTTTGCAGAGAATTAGCTCCACCCCACCTCTCTGTGTCCTGGGGACATGGACAACTACAGTGCTTCCTAAGGGAGCTAACCGAGTGCTAGTCTCTCTGGTTTACTTAGCACTGGCCTGGGGCCAACACAGAGGTGGTTTCTCCTTCTCAAATCATCCTGTTGTCTGCTCTCCAGGGAAGGGAGGGCCATGCAGCCTACACTCAGCAGTGAGGTGGCAGAAAACCTTTTGATATGAACTCGAAGGTTCCGGAGGAACAATATGAAGGCAGCAGAGCCTGCCTCCGAAGATTCCTTAACAAAAATGTAAAGTGAGTTTAAAGAATAAATCTACTGCTTTCTAGTTTTTCAAGTGGTTTCCCATTTGAAAATGTGCCGAGGTGTGTGTTTCACATATGTATACGTGCGCCACAGCTGACGGCAGAGGCACAATTTTCAGGTTTCCATTCCTGCCCTCCCCTTTTTTCCCGCCTCCTCTGGAACAAATCACCCTAAGGAGACACAGCTCTATCTCATCTCTCCCAACTAAAAAGCTAATTGTTCACTTTAAATTTACTATTGTGTGTAACTCAACATCTATGGCTGCTTAAGAAGTCATCCATCTCTCAGCTCAGTAGTGAGAAAGGGATGTGGGGGTGGGGGGGGGAGGGACTGCTCCGCGGGGAGAAGGGCTCGGGACCACTCAGATCACTGAAAGGGCAGTGGCGTCACTTTATGCTACCTCTGCAGAACAGGAGCAAATACTTCAGAGACATAGCATCGGGCTTCTTGTATGATTGACAGAAAGTGGGAAGCACTATGTAAATACAGATCTTGTGCTTTCTGGCCAACTTGGTCCAGGGAAGCCTCATCCCATCTGTGGACTTCATCTTATCAACTAGATAGTGAGGACCAGCAATGTCTGCCTCGTTATGCTGAATAACATAGTAAGCACAGTGTGGGGATTCCCTTAGAACACGCATGTTACAGGAAGGCCATCCAATGATGCCAACCGCAGCGAGAGAAACCTCAAAGCCACTTCTCTATGGGAATCTACAAAAGACGCCAGGCTCCCTTGCAGCAGACAACCCACAAACACTGGGAAAAGATGGCCTTTCAGTCCCAGAAAGGACTTTCTAAGGCTGAGAAGTGACTGACATAAATCTGGCTTAAACATCAAGCGTGCGGGGCATCAGGGAAAGAGGCTTTGCAGCCTGATTTCTGGGTCTAGAGCTTTTGGCCTTCAGCTGCTTTAAAGAACTGATCTTATCAGCACCTTGTAAAACTCTCCACCCACTCTGACCTTCAGGCTGTAAGGGAGGCGGGGCTTTCTACTCCCTCCTTCCCATCCCTTCCCAGAGAAGAGACTGTTGTTGGGGCTTGGGAAGGGCGAAACCGAGGAACCTAGAAAAAGGCAGCTTATTTTTTGGTCCAGTTTGTGCACTGTAGCTCAGTTCTCCGGTTGTAGTCACAGAACAGGCAAGGATCACATGGGAAGGGAGTGGTTTAAAGACACTGGAAATGTCAGGGGCAGGGTCCCTCTGAACTCCTTGTCTAACTGTCTCATGGACACCATGCTGTGTCTCCTGACGCCTCTCACGTATTGACCTGGGATGAAGTGTGTGTCCTCGTTGCTTCAGCTCCTGTTGTTTAAGTCAAGGGTTTTGAAAACATCTTTCCTTTGTAACAGCAGAATTTGAACCTGACTGAGAAGGTGTCTGCTCCCCAAAGGCACGAGTCTGATGTTCTTTCAGCGTAACAGCTAAGGCTCTACAGCTGGTTTAATGGAGGTTTTCTCCTGGTTTCTTCGCCCACACTCTCTTAATTTTTTGTTCATTCTTTGCCTGAGGGATTAACACCAGTAAAGTGCAATCTCCTTAGTCATTACTAAATAAGTGTGCCCCCCCCAAATGTCCTACCAGTGTTTGTTTTTCAGGGCCATAACCAACCCAACATTCTGTTCTTTCCCTGTTCCCTAAAAGACAGAGTAGAATCAGGGCTTAGGGCTCTGATGTTGGAGTTTGAAGGCTAGGAGTCCCTAGCTGTGGTCAGTAATATAGTAATTTTGTTTAAAAACGTCTCTAGAGACAAGCCACATCATTCATGATTTAACCCTCATCTTAACAGCTCCCAAATTCAACACTGAATGAGAAGGGTCATTTAAGGGGAGAGAGAGTCTTTCTATCTCTAAACAGAGCAATGTTCTATTGGGTGCATCATGCTGCTTTCGGAAGAGAATCCAAGCCATGGCTTTGGTTTTCTTATGTACTACTGTGGGTTCCAGATTCCCAATTGACCCATGTGACTGACAAAGATCCTACACACTGTCTCATTTCCGAGGCCTCGCTTCTGACAACTTAAAGTGGTCTTTTGGATACATTTCCACCCCAAATATATCAGTGATCAGAAAAAGTCTAGAAAAAAAATAATAAACAAGATGGAACTTTTCCAGTTGGATTGAAGAAGAAGAAGAGGAAGTAGACATCTGAATTAAGTCACACATAGCCAGGGGTCCTCAGCATGACCCGGTTTCTTCAATGGAATCTAACAGAAGGACAAGGTGCCTGCTTGTCTCCCCGTCATGAAAAAGGAGCAGGCAGAGGGTCACCATCTAACCACCTGGCTGTTGTAGTCCTCAGTGACCGTCCCCTCTGTGGCCCCGTCTTCTTTGGGCCACCGATGCGCTCCGTGTTCTCGCTGCAGCCTGCGTTCCTCGCGCCTCTTTTGGCGGTCCCTCTGGTGTTCTAGCTGTTTGGTGTGATGGTAGCGTTGCTGGAAGAGATCTTTTGCATATTCATAGAGCTGCATGTCCAGGAAGTTCAACTCCTCGATATGCTGACGGGCTCCCTCGTTGATGTCCACATTGGAAGCCCGTGTGATGTTGAACTGTGTGAAAGGGGAGATGAACTTCAGATTGAATGTCCTCTCAAAGAGAAACTGTGTCTTCCTTTGGAATTCAGTGAGCCCGAAGAAGGCCATGTTCTTCAGGTTGTTCTTTGCGCTCTGCAGCAGGATGGTACTTCGCTCGCTCTCGTTCATGAAAGTCAAGTTGTAGCAGCCCACCAGGCTGAGGTCAGCGAGCATGCGCACCTGCCGGTTGTTGGCTAAATTGTAGCTGCAATCCATGAACTCCCTCAAGCTGACCCCAGACCAGTCATCCCCTGGGTAGCAGGTAGGCAGCTCATCTGGGGTGGGGCTCCTTCCGTCACACATATGGAGAGAGGTTTTCCATGTGGCCCCTCTCTGGACGTGTTTCCACTCGCTCAGGTAACGCGACACTGGGTCCCGCAACATGGTGATATAGTAGAAGTTCCTGGAAGAGATTAGAGGGGAAGGTCAGTGGTTGACAATACTCTCACTGTCACTCTGAATCTCTGGTGTCTCTAGCAATGCCCAGGGGATGGGCGCTATGCCAAATGCTCACAGGGGATCATTGGCCTGATTTTACACTGACAAAGTATTCCTTGTATTCCTATCCTGACTTCAGGGACCAGGCAAGGATCAGTGCTAAGTTTATGGAGACTTTTCTACCCCACTGAATGTTGATGGGGTGGGTGGGAGCAATGAATCATTTGTTCATTCATTCATTCACTCAGCAGTTAGTCACTAATAGATCACTGATGGCTTTATTACCTCACGTTTAAGGTAACCATTGAAGGTTTCAAAACTATATCGCCAATCTAAAGTGGAAACACTTTCACTCATTAACTGTTTTATTTGAGCCTTACATCAGACTTACATCCTGGTACTGCTAGAGAAGAAAACACGAAAGGTCATGGGACCAAAACCCAATTCTTTTTAATCCTTTCCCCTGACATTGCTACATTGCTACTCAGATTATAGATCAAGGAGGGGAAGGAGGAACTGCCCATGACACCCTTGTCTTTTGAAGTCCCGAAGAAGAGGTTGGGGTCCATTTGTCAAAGAAGCCACAGGAAAGACACTGAAGAAGACCAGGGTACACAAGTCCCGAGTCCTGTGTCCTCAGAGTTGCCTTTTGTCTATGAAAACCTTCCACAGAAGACAGGTTAATCCTACGTCAGTCCCAGCACGGTTCTTGCCTCATTTCTAGAGGTTTGCTCTAGAAATACAGGGTTAATCATAGAAAGTCAGAGTTTTCCTGGGGACACAGGTATAGTTCTCACAAGCTCTGGGAAGAATCCAGTAACCCCTGTGGACTGCCTTATGCTGCCAAGTGGTCAGAAAGTGGCCCGCCATGCCCTGAGGGGAGAACTGTTATTCGGTGTGGTACCAACTTGGCATCCAGATGGAGAAGGCACAGTCACAGGAACTTAATTCATCTTAGTATGTGCTCTTTGAAGACGCTTGGTAATAAAGTAAGCAGACATTTTGCTATGGGTACTTGCACACAAGTGATTGATGATAGATAGATGGATAGATAGATACATAGATAGATAGATACATAGATAGATTGATATATAGCTAAATAGATGATGGATAGGTAGGTAGGTAGGTAGGTAGGTAGGTAGGTAGATAGATAGATAGATACATATATACATACAGATAGATAGATAATGAGGGATAGGTAGATAGATGTGATAGATAGATACATAGATAAATAGATAATGATAGATAGATAGATAGATAGATAGATACATAGATAATGATGGATAGGTAGATAGATGTGATAGATACATAATGATAGATAGATGATAGATAATGGTAGGTAGATAGATAGATATAGATATGATAGATACAATACAGGTGATAGGTACATAATGGATGCATAGACATTATAAATAGAAGATTGGTAGATGATAAATAGTTACATGACAGAAAACTAGATGTGACAGAAATATAATAAATAGGTGATAAATAGATTACAGATAGATGATATATAAATGATAGACGAAAACCGATGGTAGATATTTAGATAGTGACAATCTGTCGAGTGGTGACTTAGTTGCCACTGTGTCATGTATATTCTGCCAATCTCTGCAATCATGCAGCTATAGGCATTGCTTATTTAGAGATAAACGACAAGATCTAACTCTATATCAAATAAAGGCTTTGAAAATTGGAAAAAAAATAGGAGAGGTTGGGAACTCACTCTACCTCTCCTGTATTATCACAGTACTTTTCTCTACCCCTTGCAGGTGGAGGCCATCACATCAGGGCAAACTAAGATCTGATAAGACACACTGCTACAAACTCAAAACAAAATGCCTCTGGTCAGGGAATTTTATCGTTGCTTATAAAACGGTGAAGAGAGAAGAAGACAAAATCTAAGTTACATTATAGGTGTGTAAGAGCTCAGTGCCAAAGAAGATAATGGAGAGAATCCCCACAGCCAAAGCAACAGCAAATAAGAGATCAGTGATACCTGAGGAAGTGAACCCAGAGGTGCTTGGTCAGTGAAGGAGGGGAGGTAAAGTGTGGGAGGCTGGCGTTCACTGAATGGAAGCAGTGTACTCAGGTTACTTTCCCTCCTATAACATATACTTCAAGATTGGGGATGCCTAGATGTCAACTTCTTATACACCAACACTCATGGTCCTCAGTGCTGTTGACTCAGAGGTGAACACACACTCATTCTTTGCGTTTTTATTTAATACTTAACAAACTAAGAATTTGAGAAGACAAGATATCTTCAGAGATTATACTGATCATAAGTTACAGAACTTGGGCTCAATCAGGTCTGCCTTACTTCAGGAGGAATCTTCCTTTGTCTCCCAGTTACAACATGAAAAGCTTCTCCTTAAACATTCAACCTAGTACTTATTCTATTTGGCCAAGATAAACTTGACGGAAAATCCTTACATACTCAGTTATAGCAATAAAAAATAAATAGTTGGAAGAAGAGTTGTTTACCTTCTGATTTTCCGAATAATCGACGAGGTACTTTCTTTTAAACTGCGCCTTTCCCTATATTCTGCTACTTTCAATACAGAGCCTCACCAGTAGCTAGTCAAACGGTTTTGGAATGTGCTAAAGAAACTTCCGGATCTTAGCCAGCCCCTTTAACTCCAGAGGGAGAACTTCTTGAGATTGCCATGGGCACTGCAGCCCAAGTCCTTGCACCCCCCACACCATTTTTCCCTAACCCTGTTTATTGTCTTTTCACAGGACAGACCAATAAAGCAACCGCGGACAACTATGTCCTAAAGTCAGTGAGCAATCAGAGATGTATACCATGGTGTCTGGCCTCACGGGGAGTCATTGCTGGGCATGTGTAGCCCAGAGTAGATACAGATGGCTACCGCTGAGGGGTAGGTGAACATCACTTTGTACCTTACGTGGGTCTGCTTCACATTTCAACTCCGCAGCAGAGACCAATGTGTATTCCACACATAGCTTCACAATAAACATTATGAATATAGTAATGATAAAGATGTAGCTCAGGAGGTTATGTTTTTCAGACACACCAGGGCAGTAGAATTTAAATTAGAAAGGTGTTTGACTGAGCCAAATTAGAGCACAAATGGAATATTATTAACTTTCTTGTTAATTGTACCAAGTAGAAGATGTGTGAAAGTATTTCAACAACAGCGAAACCCAATGGCAGTAATATTCCGGTTCTGTTCTATGGCTCACATTTTATTCTACCCTGGTTTTAAAATGTTGGAGTTGAGGGGTGTGGAGGTAAGAATCCCAAGGCCAGTCACATCAAGACCCGAGTTCATCTGTAGGATTGAGGGGTTTAATTTCTCTTGGAAACACTAGGCAAGGAATTTCTGGTCACTTTGCTTTATCAGATATTAAGTGGCTACATGATGTTCAAGTAAATTTAAAATGCTCCTGGATCCAACTAAACTGTTTAACTTCACATTGCATTTTGTTTTGCCTAGTAATGCTTAGCTACATCTCAGATATCTTTGACGTTTATAAGCCAATGGAGTGAACTTGCAAATAATCTTAAATCCAACACCAACACATCATAAATTGACAATACAATTCTTGCACCTAGCTCAGGGATCATTGGGGATGAAGGGGCAGAAAGATGGCAGGAAGCAGAGCAACAGGAAGTTTGTTGAGAGGCTGTGTCTACTCTAGAAAAGTCAGAAAGGTTACACTCATGACGTCTCCCCAACACAGATTCTAAACATGACCTGAAATAGGAAGTCACCAGTAGACAGGTTAACTTGGAATGGGGAGTGTTCACAAGCTCTTATCAAAAGCCCTAGATGAAAAACTAAAGGAATGCTAGAAGCAGGAGAATCTTCCTAGAGAAGAACATGCCAACTGATTATTCAATAATAAACGCTCAGCTCTGAAAACATAAATATAGGTGACATTATACGGACTGACTATATCGTATTAAAGTATTAAAGTTAGGCGCACTCACAAACACAATACATATACACCAATGATACAAGAAAAGGAGCCATGAATTTGAAAGAGAGCAAGGTAGGTATATAGGAGAGTTTAACGGATAAAAGGGAAGGGGAAATTATGTGATTATATTGTAGTGAAATGATGTTTTAAGTGCAGGGAAAGGAACTAGAGAACATTTGCAGTGATGAGTATCAAGTTGTTGAGCTTGTAACACTGGGTGCCGGTCGCTAGCAGAATTTGAGACACAATGTGTGTAGGCAGACATTCACATGTTTATTTTACCTATTCTATTTTGTAATACAGTCAAAACACAAAACCAGGAAAACTTAAAAAAGACTTATAAAATTGAAGGCCATCCAATTAATGAAGATAAATATCAGATTAAAATTAAATTACTTTTAAATTATTGTTAATTTTTTTCTTTGATATGCATTTTTTCCCTCTTACAAAACTTAGCAGAGCTTTAGTGAAGCAACACCTGCGTCTGGACCACTGACACATCCCACTTCACAGAGAAGAACTTAGTGTAGCTTTAGTGAAGTGATGCCTGTATCTGGACCACTGACACATCCCACTTCACAGAGAAGAACTTAGTGTAGCTTTAGTGAAGTGATGCCTGCATCTGGACCACTGACACATCTTACTTCACAGAGCATAGCTCAGCATCAGTTGTCCCTCTTGCTGGCGTTTGATCTGAATGATTTCCTCCTCACAGCACGCATGTGGCACAGCCCAGTTCTCAGCACAGGGTCACTGAAAGATGGTGGAACTTGTGGATAAGGAGAGAAAGTTAAGCTCTTGGCAATGGGTCCTGGAATGGGGTTGGCAGTTGGGGCTCTTCCAGCTTTGTTCTTCTGCTTCCCACCCATCATTAGCTGAGTAACAGTGCCCCACCACCTGCTCCCCATCATCCTATTCCACCTGTCCACAGGCTGGGAAGGAGCAGAGTAATCAAGAACGATATGGAGCCTCTGGAACAGAGCAAAAACAAACAAACCTCTCTTCTTTGCAAGGTTC